CCTGCCAATATCCAGCAACTTCGCACAGCCATTGAAGAGGAGTGGACCAACATTCCACAGGCCACAATCAACAACCTGATCAACTCTATGCGAAGGAGATGTGTTGCACTGCGTGAGGCAAATGGTGGTCACACCAGATACTGACTGGTCCCCCCCCCCCCCCCCCCCCCCCCCTAAAGCAAAACTGCACATTTCAGAGTGGCCTTTTATTGTGGCCAGCCTAAGGCACACCTGTGCAATATTCATGCTGTCTAATCAGTATCTTGATATGCCACACCTTTGAGGTGGGATGGATTATCTCTGCTAAGGATAAGTGCTCACTAATACAGATTTAGACAGATTTGTGAACAATATTTGAGGGAAATGGTCTTTTGTGTATACAGAAAATGTTTTAGATCTTTGAGTTCAGCTCATGAAAAATGGGAGCAAAAACAAAAGTGTTTATATTTTTGTTCAGTGTATATATACACATGCCATGGATCTGGAGCGACCGACGGCATGTACCCTCGCCTACTGGATGAGTTTCTGGAGCGCCGTGCCGTGTAGCAGAGCTGCAAGCTCACACGAGGAAACTGCAAAATCACGCGATAAAAAGCACCATTCACTCCCAAAACTCCACAACACGTCTTCTCCTTTCGGTTTGTATCCTTGTAGAAAGGATGTGTGGTGTCATACACACACACAAATTCTTAAAGCTGAGAAGTAAACTGAGCACATGGTCAAGCAGTGATGACCATGCTTACCTCACCATCCGGCTGCATGAGCTGTGTCTTTCTCCACGACAAGATCACTGAGTTGGGGCATAGAGTTACCACACTCTACAAAATTGAGGAGGCTGAGAAGCACATGGACACTATCATCTTTGGCCATGCACAAGGCACCACCACCACTGCTGAAGATCTGGCCGCCACTGCTCACCTACCGACGCGGCTACTCCTCTGGCTGCAGCCGCCTCTACTTCACCCGCTGCAACTTCTTCAGCCGCTGTTTCAGTCACCGTTCCCGAGAACCCCTGGCTCCAGCTTGGGTGCAAACCCAAAGCCCTGCTAACCTCCACTCCTGCACATCTGGTGCGACATCAACAGCCCTGAGAATCAAATTGCAGCTGTATTTCCATCTGTACGTGTCTCTGCTGGAGTGGAGGTTCTTGATAAGCTGGATAAACCTTCCCTCCCGGCTCACAACGACCCTGTCTGCAATCAGCACATAAATGTATCTCTATATCGACTGTCCTGTCACATCTGATGTCAGATCAGAGGGGATTGGCACCGTTTGGCACCTTTTGGCACGGGTAATGGAAACCCAACCTGATTTGATTAACACAGCTGCAAACTAATGAGTTCACATCCCTCTCAGCCAACCACAAACAGCCACAGCATCAGATAGGGAGTATATATTCAGCATCTGTCATCTTAGAAAAGTCAAAAGAAAAGAAACAGAGTGAGACTGCGAGAGAGAAAGAGAGAGCGTGCGCGCACGAGAGAAACGTAACATTGATTTACAATTGTGGTGACCTCCTCCCAGGCTACCTTTGCATCATCAGCCCGTGGAGGTCTGCTCGCAGTTCCATATATTCAGACACTGTGAGCACACCTCCCGGACCAAAACATCAGTTTCCTCCTGGGAGAAGTTTGGCCGTGTGACGCTGCTGCTGTCTTCTGCCGTGGCAAATTGAGTAAACTCTCATTACGCCTTCGCGCGGCGCATTTAAGGGCGAGGAGAGGGGCTCATTTGATTGGTGTGATGTGTGTAAAACCCACTCCATACCTTCTCTCCTCTCTCTTTCCGACTTGCGCAGGTAGGAGGGACGGAGGTGGGAAAGAGGAGTAGCTGTGTCAGGCGCACGGTGTGCCTAACTTGCAAAATCCGCCTGGCCACACCCAGTTGGCGAAGCGCAGGTGCGCTGCGCCTCTGCCTAGAAACTAGAGCCCCTGGTTTCAGCTGGCGAGCTTTTAACGCACCTTCGGCTAAGCCTTTTGGCACGAAACTGTCACTGCGCCAAGCTGGATCTGTCGACACCTCCCCCTGCTGCGCCGCCACACCCATCTCAGCGCACTTCGGTCTGCCAAACTACCAAACTGAGCGCGCCTTGGGTTGCGCTGCTTGAAACTAGCTCTGCGCGGGGTTCGCCACCCTGTCCTGCGCCGGGAAACTAGAGCCCCTGGTTTCCTCTGCTAACGCTGCCAGTCTTATTGAAGCTTCCCCTCCTGATTTTAGCTTCATTCACTTCCCAAGGCCAAATAAGAAGAGGGGAGGTGTTGCTATTATCTATTCGATTTACTTCCTCTGCTCTAAAGCTGACCTAGGTTTTTTCACGTCCTTTGAATATATAGCTCTATCACTTCCAGCATTTCTTTTGTCCATCTATCGCCCCCCTAAACAATACAAAATTCCTGCCGGAATTTTCTGAGTTTCTGTCCCATGTTTGTACCAGTTATGATGTTTAAGTTCTTACAGGTGATTTTAACTTTTATGTAGATCAGAGTGATGATTCAAAAGCCCTTGAGATTTTAAATCTCATTGATTCTTTTGATTTAATTCAACATGTTAAAGGACCAACACATCAATATGGCCACACCCTGGACTGAATTATATCAAAGGTATCAATATCCATGTTATTACAATCACTGACCATGCAATTTCTGATCATTCTCGTGTTCTGTTTGAACCTCCCTTATCCACCACAAAGCAAATGACAAATCAGCTTGTTAAGAAACGTTATATAGATATCTGTACAGTTGCTAAGTTCTCAGATATTATTAGTCAAACTACACTGTCTCTCCCCTCTTCCAGCTCCATACATGACCTTGGAGCTCACTTCAACACCCAACTTCTTAATGCGCTTGACACTTTTTTGCGCCCATAAAGATGAAGAAAAAACCTGTGGTGAAACCCATGCCCTGGCGTACTAGTGCTATTTGCAAATTGAAATGTGAATGTTGCAGAGCAGAGCACAAACTGAGAAAACATAAATTGTCTGTCCACCGCAATATATACAAAGAAATTCTCACTACCTACAATAAAACAGTGCGGGATGAGAGATGTGCCCATTTCGCTAATATTATAACATAACATATAACAGCCAACTCAGACAATCCCAGCATATTATTCTCAACCCCAAATAGCATTCTTAATCCACCTTCAACATTGAACCTATAGACAAGGCCTCCTCCACTACTTTGATTTAATCACAGAAGATGAACTACACAAAACTATCCTCAGCATGAAACCGTCTACTGGCTCTCTTGACCCCATTCCATCTGACCTTTTCATGTCCACCTATGACAAACTGTTCTTAACTACACTCCTCATCATAAATACCTATCTACAATCTGGCATTTTCCCAAATTACTTTAAGACTGCAACTGTAAAACCCTTACTCAAAAAACCTAACCTGGATCCCTCATCTCTCAGTAATTACTGCCCAATTTCTAGTCTGCCTTTCCTAAGTAAGGTTTTAGAGAAAGTAGTGTTCAAGCAGTTAAACAAACTCCTGTCAGAAAACAGTATTTGTGAAAATTTCCAGTCAGGCTTCAGAGAGAGCCACAGCACAGAGACAGCACTTATTATAGTCTTCAACGATCTTAGTGTAAATGCAGACAGTGGAAATTGGGAGGACATTGGCAGGCTTCTGGAAGGCTTTCGGAAGGCCTGGGAAATTTGAAGTGGCTTCATCTGTACCACAGCAGGTCAGACCCAAGTTCCGGACATTAACCCATGCTACGATTGTAACATTAAATTTTATTGAATTGACATAGCGACATGTGCTTAACGTTACTGCAACACTAATTAAAACAGACATTTGACTTTATGTTGTTACTTAACGTTACCTGTCCAGGAGAAGAAGAGCTAGCTCCGAGTCAAATTGTAGCCCCTGCTCTCGCAGTGCTCTCCACCTTGGAAATGCAAGGCCAATGTTAATCCGGGAACGTTTTGTTCCGCTCTCCGCCATTTCGCTTCGAAAATACGCGCTGCCATTGCTCACTGGCTGTAGCCTTTTATAGGGAGGGAGGGCCAAGGGCTCCGAGAGGAGGGAGGAGGCGGCGATTCACATGAACGCGCAGCCGGACCGGCTTGTAAACAAGGGGCTGGAGATCAACACAGAGAGAGGGTGGGTGAGGTCATGCTATACTCCAGATGAAATTACACCTCTAGTTCTTCACATAGCAATTTTTTAATTCCTTCAATCTAGAAATGATGAATTTCTGCTTATTGTCCCTTTAAACATAACATTTCAGAAAACTTGTCATATTAAAGAAATGTTCTCGTCTTCGGAGACCGCCATGTTGCATCACCATGTTTCTACAGTAGCCCAGAGCGGACAAAGCAAACACTGGCTATACATAGGGCGTCTTGCGTTTTTGTGTTTTCCACGTCGTCCACCATAGGCCCTGTTTCCACCAAACACTTTTGGTATGATAACTTTGGAACCAAAAGTAACCCTTCAGACATGGTACCTAGACCCTTGCATTTCAACTGCAAACAGTACTCTTAAATGTGGATGGGGTTGTTGTCACTGACTGCTCACTCACTGCTCCATCCAGAACTTCCTATATTTCCTTATCACCAGTGACACAGATGGAAGTCTGCGTCTTGTTTATCATCCACAGAACGGAGTTACATGCCAATATTTTCAGAACAAAATTAAACAGGCTGTAGTGAGAGTCTCACATGGGATATGTAATAATAGCATCTTTCTGCATTTAGTCCTTCTCAGGCAAGCTTGGGGTTTAGTGTTGCCGGAGCCCACAGAAGCGATGCTCTGCAAGGCTTTTTTTTTTCTCTAAGGGAGGATTAGAATATGTGCAGTTTACATTATCTGTAGAAATAAATATATATTTTTAAATGCTTAAAGATCCACTCCTGAACAATGAACACTGAAGGAATACTAACCAGGAGAAGTTTCAGCTGGCTGAAATCTCCACTGCTAGATACCACTAAATCCTTCTAAATCTTACTCACTGGACCTTTAACATAAGTACAACCTGAGACTTATCGCAAGGTGATATATACATAATAGATATGGAAAACAAGGCTATAAAACAACGCACACTAGTACACTCTATGGCCAAAAGTTTGTGAACACCTCAGACTAAATACTTGTGTACTTTTGGTCTCAGGCCCTTTTTCTATTGTTTTTGGTTTGGGCCCCACAGCTCCAATGAAGGGTAATCTTATTGCTACAGCATACAATGATGTTTTACGCAATCGTGTGCTTTCAACCTTGTGTAAACACTTTGGGTTTTGCCCTCTCCTGTTTCAGCATGTGATTCATCTGTACACAAAGCCAGCTCTATAAAGAAATAGTTTCACTGAACTGTGCAGAGTCCTGACCTTTGATGAAACAGAGGCGGACTGTGAGCCAGACCTGATCATCTACCATGAGTGTTGGTCCTCAATAACCCCGCAGAAAATCTCTGCTGCAGGTTCTCTGGTGGAGAGAGGAGGCTGTTAGAGCAGCACATGAGTGTCAGTGATTTTGGAAATATGTTTAAAATGGCTGGTACTTTAATTGAGTTAAGTTTTCTTGGGATTGCTTTTGTCGGTGAATAAGACTGTGTTCTTTCTGTGTGACTCTAGGTTTATGTCTGGCATGAACATCTCCATTCCCACACACTACTTTGCTTTGCTGACCAGCTGCAGGGACTCAGCCCTACCAGTTACCGCCTGCGTTGGCGAGCTGCAGACTGTATCCTTCCTGTTGCCTCACAGACCCAACAACTCAGAAAGCTGCAAAGTAAGAAACCAGGACAGGAGTTTGTTTTTTAGATTACACTTTACTGCCCACTCTGTACTCTGTCTCTTTTCTCACTGTCCTCCTATTCTCACCACCTTATGCTGGGCCGGACAAATAAAATTAAACTCTTTGTGTGACTTAGTGTGAAACTCCATGCCTACTTGCTGCCTTTCATGCTCATGAACAAAGCAGCAGTGTCCTCTGTTCCAGTGCGTGACAGTGATGACATTTCCATTTATTGACACTCAAGGAGAGAAGCCACTTCAAAGAGATGAGAAAAAATAAAGACGTGTTATGGCATGATTAATGTAACTATATTAACTACAGAGGAGCAGGAAAGGAAATTACAACCAAATTATTATGTATAACATAAACACACACACACACACACACACATACACACACACGCACACAGTCACTTCTCATTTCAGCAGTGCTTCTTGTTCTTTAGTGGAACACAAGGGAACATAAAGATGCCCAGACTGTCCAGGAGAATATGGATGAAAAACTGAATTAGTTTGGAAGTAAATATGAAAAGGAAGGTACCAGTGAATGAAATGCATTATCTTGTGTGGAGAAAGTATATAAATGTGTCCACAATGGTAAGACTTCATCTTCTGGAGAGCATGAATGTGCTTAATAGGTTCTGTGTTCATCTGTCCACTGGAGATGAAGTGCACATTTGGTTGGATGGTGGCCCTAAAAGAAAGGTCAGAGGATCACCAACATTATTAAGTTACATTATCTGGAGGCTAAGAATACCCATCAGAGTTTAAGGGATACTTTGCATTGGACCAAAGTCTTTGTAAGGCACAGTGTTTGGGTGTGTTCATAAATCCAATCTGATGCTTTACACTAAAATGAGAGCCCTGTTGTTTGAAGAAACGATGCATTCCGTTTCAACATGAATTAATGAACAGTTAGGTTAATCACACATTCATTGCAAGAGTGCAGTGCTCTGGATAACTGAATGGTACATTCTAACAGCGCGCCAAACTTATTAACAGCTCAGTTTGTGCCAGCGTGTGTGTTCAGAATGAGTATTCCAAACACACCCTTAATTTTTATCAACAAAAACTATGACGAAACATGTTTGTCATGACGTTGAAAGCTAAAAATAGATCTTGATCATAAAAACTATGACAAAATGTCTATTTTGTTTGCATGGACAAGACAAGACAGGACCAAAATGTTAGAGGTGGATCATCAAACATTCCAGTCTGCTCTCATTCCAAAGTCATCAAATACCATCGCTTTGTCAGTAATTTTGGCATCAGACGCCAAAAGCCTATCATGGCAGAATGATATGCGGCCAGGCAGAATCAGTATGTAACGTGGCCAGACATAACCTTTTGCGTTGTTATGATAAGCCACTGGTCAGGTGGACGGCATCTGACATGGCGGTATGATACACCGCCAGATGGTGTAAGGTTGATACTCTGCCCGTAAGGATATAATATAAGGAGCTGGAGAGTCCCTGTGGGGCGGCTAGGAGTCTTGGTAGATGGGTCCAACAAACCCCAAATTTCTACCTGGCAGCCAGATGGTTGCTTTTTGAATGCCAACCCAAGATGTTTTTTTTTTCTAAACTTAACCATATTCTTTTGTTACCTAAACCTAACTATGTGCTTTTGTTGACGTCCTGGCATTGATAGCTCATTGTGGAATATCAACAGCAGATGCAGGATACCTAGCACATAATATGGAAAGGCCACTGACAAAGCAGCAATATGTGACAACTTAGGATAAGAACATGTTGGACATTCAAAATGAAAGGAGAGGAGATCAGAATGATAAATCATTTTATGTAACCTATTACAAACATGTTTAAGGCCAGGAAACCGAGAACAGCCGTGCTTGAAATTCTATTCTAATGCCATATAAGCTGTATGAGTATGGAGCACCAATGGGTTGGTAACCGGGGTCATCCCTATGTTTCCAGGGTTCTATGTTTCCCAGGTTCTATGTTCCCCACTTAACCCTGCAAAAAAGCTTCTATGTTTCCTGCTTACACAAAAAGGGTTCTATGTTTCCCACTTGGTTGAGCGGGCAACATAGAACCCGGGAAACATAGAACCTTTGAGATAGAATCATTGTAGATTTATATGGATGTACAAAGACAAGCGGGAAACACCGTGAGGGCGAAAACAGAGGGCTCAGCGGGGATGGAGCACCTTCCGCAGCATGTGAACACACTATCTGTGGTCATTTTGACTTGACCAGTGGACTTCACTACAAGCTGACTGTCTGTTGAAACTGGTGACCTACCTTACATTCTAAAACCAGCCGCTGGCCTTTCATTTTTAAACCAGTTGCAGGCGATTCAACCAGCTGAGTTGCAGGTGACAATGTCAGCTGACTTGAGTCAAGCTCACTGTACGTTCACACCAAAAGCTGCCAGAGCTGCAAAATAGCTGAATTCACTCTAGCAACGCCGCTGGTAAAATATTTGTGGCAGCGAAAGCAGCTCAAGTTGCTCATGACATCAAATTCTGAACGTTCGATTATGCTTCTTTATTTATTTTATAAAGCAGGTTACTGGCTGGAGCACAGAAATGTGACTTCGTGCATTTGCCTGAGTACAGAAACTTTCATGTTTGGACTATGAAAACAGAATAAAAAGTCTAAATAGGTCTGACATTAAACATTAAACACGCACAGCCTGTGTTGCGTTCAGGCGTTGTCACGTAAATAACAAATTCCAGCATTTCAATAGGCCGTAGCACAACACAGCAGCATGTCAAGTGGGCCGAACCTGAACCGAATATGAGCAAAATTTTTTGATTTGTTATCCCCCCCCCAAACTGTAAACCTAGGGGAAACACTGTCAGTGGATTGGGTTCAAGTGCTTACAGTGCGATTAGTTAAACTGGTGGTAAGGAGAGCAAATGAATTGCATTCCCACCAATAACAAGCATTCCAGAGCACAAAGAAATTGTATATGTGCCATTGTCCACACTTGTGTATCGATTCAACATGGAAGAAGACGCTCTTGTAATTTGTGCTGCCGTGTGGTACCTGCGTGGATGTAGCCACTGTCGGGTCTGGGTTCACGATATCCTCCAGGGCCAGCACGGGGAATATCATCGGCTGGTGTGGGAGCTGCGGCTGGATGGAGAGAGGTTCCAGCGCTACTTCAGGTTGAACATAGATCAGTTTGACAGCTTGCTGCTTGTTTTGAAGTAGGAACAAATGTGGGGTAGGAACTATAAGTTTCCAAGGATGTTCTCTGGGTTCTACACAAGCGATGGACATCTACATTCCGATTGGTTACTGGTCATTTGCAGCTTGTACCTAATTTGCATAAAGTTAACGAGTCTTCAACTTTCATTAGACCTGTCACCTTTGCAGCTCTGGCAGCTTTTAGTGTGAACATATAGTGGGCTTAAGACCCGAGCAGTTACTGAGTTACAGCCTTAGACAGGAGGTGAGAACCGTGGCATTAATTTGTTTTGTCACTTTCTTTTTTACTTTGACAGAGTACACAACCCGAATCTCACTGGGTTGAAGATCTCATGTGGTTCCATCAGTCACGAGTCAGAGATGTTGAGTGGATCACAGGATTGGACTTTTACCAGGACAGCAATCGACCAGTCCCAGAGCTGTTGAGGATGAAGACCCGCCCCACAGCTGCCATTCACAGAAAACAGTGAAATCACTCTTCCCCACAAGAAGAAATCACCAACATCAATATTCAGTATCTATTAAAGTATTGTACTATTCTGTGTTTAGTCTTAAATTGTGTTATCACTTTGTCAACACTGGACTAAAGGTACCTGTTATCTAACAGAGTGACATTGTTTATTTATTTACTTCTCAGTTTAAAAGTGTACTATTTAATCTATTCTGGTGATTTTATCCTGTTGATTTTTTTATAATACATATTTAGAGGTTGTTTCATGCAAAGCCCAAATAAGATGAGCCAACACAGGTATTTAAGGAGCAAAACTTGAGCAAATCTTTGTTGACCTTGTGGTCTTTTAGAGCCATTATGCTACAGAATATTCTACAGTAAATGTAATCAAACACTTGTTTCTTTTGTTGGTGTTGCTTTAGTTTGGTAAAATTTGGGATTTTAGGCCTATTTGTCTGTTTATTGTACAAGGAATTAGAACATTGTCAAACATATTTTTCATAGCCCTGGTGAGTACAAGTAAAACACAACCCTGTCTCACTCCAAAGTCGTTGAAAGCCAGTGCTTGGGCAGTGACTTGCAGCATCAGACACAGACAAAAAAAGCCGTCCTTAAACATGGGCACGACTTTCACCAGGGAGAGCGGTGTTCGCGTTCCATAAGATTATAAAGCCAAACCCTGTTCTTTTTTGTGCTTTTGTCGCCTAAACCCAACCACACAAGAGACTGTATGTAAACTGTACATTTCCTGTGAAAACAGAAGTGTATTTTGAAAGAAGATGATGAATGTAAATGGTAAATGGACCTGCACTTGTATAGCGCCTTTCTAGACATCCGACCACTCAAAGCGCTTTTTATTCACATTCACCTAATCACACACACATTCATACAGACTGGAGGAGACGGGGATCGAACTGTTGATCTTCCACTCTACCTCTGAGCCACAGCCGCCCCATGTAACAGGCTGCAGTTGATATGGCTTCCCAGAACTTCAACATCCAAAGCATCCATGCATGTTGCATGTTGTATCTGGATGTGGAAAGTCCATGACCAAACATCAATATGTGATGAGGTCAGAGTGAGAATGTATTGTAAAATACCATTCACCTCTAGCAGAAGTTTCAGAGAAGAATAGAACAGAAACCCAAACTGTCTGAATGGCAAGGTACTAGTAAATGAGACTATGTGTGTTTGTCATTTGTCTGGAGTGTCTGTTTAAAGGTTTTTCTCATGTTGTACCAGTCACTGTTGATAAAAACTCAAAACAATCAGTCAGCACAGATTTTGGACCAATATTGACACAATTTTATAATAACCTATGACATATTTCAATTCAGTTCCAGCCAATTTCAATTCAGTAGAAGTCAATTTATTCCAAAGGAAATGCTTGTACCAGAGAATGCTTCAAATTACAGTAACACTTAGAAGAAGAAGAAGAAGAAGAAGAAGAAGACTTTATTGTCATTGTGCATTGCACAAGGAAATTACGTGTAGTACCCTTGGCAAGATAACAGCACAATAAAAAGGACAGTATATAAATATAAATATAAAAAGACGTCAGTAAGGTATAAAAACAATAAAGTGCGTGAGAGATATAGCAGCAGTATAAAAACTTTGATAAAAGAGGCAGCAGACAGTGTAAAAACAGCAGCAAGGTGAGGTAAAGTGCAACGGTGCAGTTCAAAGTGCAAAGGTCTTAAAACAGTAACCACTATTTAACAATTCACAACCAGTATTAACCAGTCAACCAGTGGGTTCCCCAGGTCAGGGTCACTCACTGGGCCCAGTTTTAGAACAACTGAGTATTAAATATCTGGCAGAATGTGCAAATGTACAAGATAGAAGTGTTTTCTAGGAGCAACAAAAAAAAACAGTGCCTAATAGAGTAACAATAGGAGTACGCTAAGTACAAGAGTTACTAAAAATGAACTAAAATGGTGGAAAAAAAGACTGTGCCTGATAATAAATGTTATATTGTATATGATATAACAGCAAGAAGTGGTATTGCACATGACTGAGGAAATGATATTGCACCACACTGACAGGTGATCATGATATTGGTCGAAGTGTTTTAATAGTGACGCATGAGTGAAGATGCATGTGTGTGGTGAGCACTGGATAAATGAGACTTGACTTATACTGCACGAGTTGTTTGAGAGTTTGTAAACAGATGTTTTCATATAGTTTAGCTGTTGATAAATGCACACCCTGTACTTCCATTCATGAAGACTGTTTTTTGGATTCTTTGTTCATCGGGGAGATGTGAAAAAACAAAGTTATCTTCACAGATTCAACGTAGCACAACATTAGTACTGATATACAAATTGTCATTTTGTAGGTAAAGTGTTCTTTTAATGGTCTGACTCTGAAGAACAAGTGAGAGCAGACAGAGACAGCATGGAATTAGGGCTCAACATAAATGTTTGCCCAGGGCAGGTAAACTTTGTGTGCAGGTGTTGCACCCACGAATCACACTGGACTCGGGATGAACTTTTTATTTTTATTTTTATTTTTAAAAAAAGACAGATGGTCTTATTCTGAAAGAATGAATGAAAACAAACAGTGATTTTGCTGGTCTTCAGTAGCTTTACTCTAGGTGTAACTGCCAACTCATCTGGCTTAGAACAATGTAGCCTACAATATAGGGTAACAATCACAGTATTGTATAAAAATCACAAAAGGTATTAAAAGTCATTCATTGATCTACAATTCTTATGACTAGTATATTTTATAGATAACAATAGCCTATATATGAACCCAAAGATTACAATAAATTAAATGGTAGACCTATTACAAATTAAGCTCTTTTCTAAAAGTTTACTAACTACTAAAATCCCACATCCTGTGTTAAATACAATGTATCTTAACTAGCTTGATTCTGCACTTATGGTGCGTTCCAGGCAGGCTTTTGAACTCATAAGTCACGACTTCAAGTCACGAGTTACGACTTTGTAGCATTCCAGGAAAGTTACAGCAAACTGCCAGTTACTTCCTGTTTAACGTTGAACATGGCGAACCGTTTGTTTGTGCTTCCCCATTATTGCTATATAGATATAGATACATAGATGCTATTATAGGCTATTTTTTACATTATCTATGTGTTTGGAAACGTATTTTGTATTGATTATTCTTGCACTGGAAACCAGCTGTTAGAGCAGCTGCCAATAATGCGTTAACATTAGGGTTATTTTATGTCTATTTCTCACCATGTATCACCTGCATCAACACCGCATCCATAGGGCTGCCATTGTTGTTTAGAGGAGTAAGGTAATTGGTTTAGAGGGCTGTGTGATGTCAGAAAGCGTAACTGGGAGTACATCGATCTGGTACGAGTTCATGGGTGGGAAGTTACGGGTTTGACTGCCGTTCCACTGCACTTTCAAGGATTACAGGTTGTGAAAACACGAGTTACGGGTTGCCTGGAACGCACCATTAGCCCGTATGGTAATGTTTACCGTTGCTATGGCAACAAGTGACATCTGACGTTAGCGTTAGTTAGTTAGCTTAGCTCAATCATCCGACTGGGACGTGTAACAGTAAAATCACTCTGCTCACAGGTGTTATAAATATAAATACAACCGTTAATTAACCAGCTGTCAAACTTGCTACATTGACGCAAACTGACACTATATACACCAAGAAGATGGATATTTTCCCCAAAATTACATTTGAATTAATCAACGTTTCATCAGCCAAACTGGACGAAGTTACACAGCTGCAGATCAATGTAAATACAAAGTAGCTTTTGAGTTCCTGGCGTGCATGCTGCGTTGCCTGGCAACAGAGGGGGAACTGTTTTTTTTTCGTGGAGCTACATAACATAGGCTACTTAAATAATTTATTTCATCACCTTTTGTTAACATTTCCTTACTCAGCATTGCTGTTTAAGCTGTTGTTGAATTATTGTATAAAAGCAATATCACACTAAAAATGTGGCCCATCGACATTATCTGGTTTTGAAATGCGGCCCAGTTGAAATAGTAATTGGTTGTTTGTTTGTTAGTTACCTATCTAACAACACATCAAAATAATTGTAAGCCAGTCTTGTTCAGTGAATCAGTTTATCATGTACATTCAAAAATATTTAGGCCTAATATTTAAGATTGTTTGCTTATAAATACATAAATCTGGTTGTTCTATATTTAAAACACATTGGGTTTATTAGTACTATTAAATAAATCACATTATTACTTATCATACTCATTATTATTTCTTGAGCTTGTTTTATTTATTAATTTCACAGATAGTTATACATCCTTATAGTCCTTAAATTAAATTCATTATGGACGTGGACTTAAAATCATTGTTTTATTTTATGGCCTTGCTGCCCTGGCTTTTGGCCTTTGTGCCCTCAAAAAATTGACAACACAAAAGGCCAAGTGGCCTTGCCCCTGAAACGATGAAATTCCAGGCCTGCATATATCTGTGCTGCTTGGACAGAGACTGACAGTGTTTGATGGCGAGCCATCATTCCATCTTGGGGCTAAAATTAGCACGTCCATCCGGATGTTGTAATTCCATCGCTGCCAGTTGAAGCCAATCGAACCCATGACTACTGTGGAGTCAATTGACCCAGGAGTGAATGCTGATTGCAACTTTTCCCAGTAAATAAAAAAGCTGGATGTTAGCAAGTGTTAGTGGATTTTTTGTGCAGCAAGAGAGGGGCTTATAAGTCAGATCCACCCCTCGCTCCTCCACAGCTCCACCCTCTCGTCCAAATATGGTCACTTATGCTGCAAAAAAACCAAGATGACCACGACAGAAATGCTGAACTCAAAGCTTCAAAATGGGAGTCTACAAACCAATGGGTGACGTCATGGCTCTGTCCATTATTTTATACAGTCTATTGTTCATTCACTGATGTTTTGACATTTGACATTTCACAACACTGTCTTTGACGTGTGGTTAGATTTAGGCACAAAATCTGCTTGGTAATGGTTAGGAAACGATCATGTTTTGCCTTAAATTACCTGCTATTCTTGGCACGATCCCAGCAGGAAATGCAGCAACGCCTAGTAAAAAACAAACACTTCTAATGGCACTTTGAGGGTTAAAAAAACAGCAACGATGACTCACTATAACACAACAGGTTTTGTTGTTTGTTGGTCTTGAACAGTGGTCTGCAGCTTGACCGGCATCTCACTTAGGTGTCACACCATCCACTATTCCCTCCATCTCCTGTTGACAAAATCAACTCATATACTATGTCACCTAATAAACATCTGTGACGTATGAAACATACAAATGTAGTCATGGTTTGCTACTTAACATTTTCCTCTGGTGACTGGGCTGGAAATAACAATACAGAGGCCTCTGCATATACTTCTCCATACAGGTTTGCGTCAATATCTTGTCACTGACTGATTCACTTCCCTATGTATATATGTAAACACA